GAAGAAGGTGCTGACAAGATTATCCAGCGCAGAAGCATGCAACGCACATCTGGATTTCCATGAGCTCATCAAAAGGGAGCCATCAGGCATGATGAGCTTTGCAAGGGAGGCAAAGAATGGAGATCACCCAAGGTCAGAAGAATCCGCCAACTTGTGGGAACGCTCCCTTGTTGGCTTTAAACCTGGTGGACGTGGGGAAAGGTATGGCAGGCTAAAGCTCTGAGACACAGGCCATATGAAACCATATGGAGAAAAATTGTATCTGTATTAAGAGATGAAAAGAATATCCGCAATTGTTCGTTCCCAGGGGGGAAAATGGGTTTCCCAACGGTTGGGTTATCTCTGTCGGGAAGAATGCAGTAGGCCCTGGCTGAATCTGCACTGCAGAAATAATGCCTTCTGACACCACTTTAATAGTCCACGGCTTCATCCTATGAAATCCTGGGATTTCTAGTTTGTTGCGGCACCAGAGCTCCCCGACTACTGCTGCTGTGTGCCTTGAAGTTGTTTCCGACTTCTGGCAACCCTAAGGGGAACCTATCATGGGTTTTTCTTGGCATGTTTTTGCACAGAGGGTTTGCCATTGCCAACCTCTGAGGCTGAGAAAGTGTGACTTTCCCAAGGTCACCCAGTGGGTTTACATGGCCTAACCCTGGGTTCAAACCTTGGTCTCTGGAGTCACAGTCCAACACTCAAACCACTACACCACGCTGGCTCTCAACACTCAAACCACTACACCACAGCTCTGTCAGAGCTGTCTGACAGAGAAGGCTCAATAGCTCACAAAACTCTTGGTGCCTCCCCTGTTAGGGCTGATAGGAGTTGCAATCCAACAACATGTTTCCTACAGCTCCTAGAATTCCATAGCAGTAAGCCATGGCAGTTAAAGTGGTTTCAAACTCACCTCCCTGTCTTACCAGGTTTGTGGCAATTTTGCTCCTCCATGGAGCAAAATTTCCCAGACCCCTGAGTGGCATCCATGGGCTTTGGGCCAAGCAGCCAATTGGGGCACATGAGGTGTAGGAAGGAAAGTCCCAGGGTAGGAAAGAGACGGGTTTTCTCTCTAGAACGTCTAGTGGGAATAAAAGCAGCAGCTTCACTGCTCTTCCATCGATTTGTTACTGCTGCCTTCTTACCCTACAACAGCTCAGAATTGTTAACATAGAATTACTTCCTCCAAAGAAGAAGACTCCATCACACTTCGAGGCAGCATCTTCTACAGTCAAATAACTCCACATGTGAAAGAGATCTAGGAATCCTAGTAGACCACAAGTTGGACATGAGTTAACAGTGTGATTCGACAGCTAAACAGGCCAATGTGATCCTTCTTGTTGTTATTAACTGCCTTTGCGTCGATCACAACGCATGGCAACCCTCTGGATGAGACATCTCCAGGCCTCCCTTTCCTCTCCTGCTCTGCCTAGTTCCTGCAAACTCATTTTTGTGGTCTCTTTAATAAAGTCCATCTATCTAGCATGTGGCCTTCCTCTCTTTCTATTTTCCTCCACCTTTCCTAACATTATTGTCTTTTCCAATGATTCATGATTTCTGCACACGGGCCCTTTGCCACACGCCAGCTGCCCCAACCCCTCCCCGAGGACGTCCTGACGCCACGCGCTGTTATGCATGGTGCACGGTGTCAGAACCTCCCGCGGCGGCTCTTAGAGTGCCCTATTTGCTGGCTTTGAAAGGAGCGGCATTTCAAAGGGAGGATTGGGACCAAGGCATGGGGCAGCCTCGGCCCCAATCCTTCACTTCCCAGGGCGGCCCAGGGCCACCCGTCTGCATCCCCCCTAAGTCTTGTCATCTTGGCTTCTAGGGATATCTCTGGATTGATCTGTTCTAGGACCCATTTGTTTGTCCTTTTGGCTGTCCATGGGATCCTCAGCACTCTTCTCCAGCACCGCATTATCTTAAATGCATTGATTTTCTTCCTATCCTTTTCTTTAACTGTCCAGCTCTCACATCCATACATGGTAATAGGGAATACAATGGCTTGCATGATTCTAACTTTTGTCCTGAGTTACATGTCTTTGCATTTTAGGACCTTTTCTAGTTCTTTCATAGCAGCACTCCCCATTCTTAATCTTCTTCTGATTTCCTGGCTGCAATCCCCATTCTAATCAATATTTGATCCCAGATATGAGAACTCTTTTACTATTTCTATTTCCTCATTGTCTAGTTTGTAAGTTCTCTGTGGTCATTCTTTTTATTTTCCTTCTGTTCAACAGTAAACCTGCTTTTGCACTTTCTTCTTTGATCTTCCTTAGTAGTTGTTCCCGGTCTGGGAGGTTTTCTGCTAGTCAATGCGATTCTAGGCTGCATCAACAGAAGTATAGTGTCTAGATCAAGGGAAGTAATAGTGCCACTCTATTCTGCTTTGCTCAGGCCTCACTTGGGACACTGTTTCCAATTTTGGGCAACACAATTCAAAAAAGGGATATTGATAAGCTGGAGCATGTCTAGAGGAAGGTGACCAAAATGGTGCAGGGTCTGAAAATCATGCTTTATGAGGAAAGAGGAAGCTGGTAATGTTTAAGCAAGAGAAGAGACATTAAGAGGTGATGTGATAGCCCTCTAAGAATCTGAAGAGATGTCATATTTGTTTTCTGCTGCTCCAGAGAAAAGGACCTGGAGCAATGGATTCAAAGTACAGGAAAAGAGATTCCACCTCAACATTAGGAGGAACATCTTGACAGCAAGAGCTGTTTGACAGTGGAAAACACTCCCTCGGAGAGTGGTGGAGTCTCCTTCTTTGGAGGCTTTTAAGCAGAGGCTGGATGGCCATCTTTCAGGGGTGCTTTGATTGTGAGTTCCTGCATGGCAGAATAGAGATGGATTGGATGGCCCTTGCAGTCTCTTCCAACTCTATGATTCTAACTCTTACCATCAGCAAGTTCTTCCTAATGTTTGAAATCATGTCACAACTCTGGCGACGTGGCAAGACAGCTGGATCCCATTGTAGGGAGAGAAACAGGGCCAGGATGTCTTGTAGGTCCACTCCTTTATGGGGTCTCCCTTATGGGGATGTGGGGTGATGTAGTACAGCATAGGCCCAGCTCAGGGGCAGTAGGTCATGCCTCAACACCAGGTGACAGGGAACCACACTGCAGCTGCTTACCCGCATGGATTCCACAGCTGTCATTCCGGTTGTTTCCTCCAAGAATCGGGCCAGAGGAGGGTGCATTCAGATAGCAAGCAGGTTATCCGATCTGGTATCCAGACCTCATACCAGTCCAACACTACGCAGCTGTCCAAATAAGGTTGTGGCTTCTTTGTTCTCAAGAAAGTTCAGTTGTGTGTTGTCTACCTGGCTCCCCCTCACCACGTTGATTTCAGTGACAGAACAGACCAGCAAGAATTTTGCAGAATTTTCTCCTAGTCATTTGCCATCCTAAAGTGTTGTGCAGGAATTATTTTGCAGAGGAAAAATGTGTCAATTTTTGGCACACAAAGCCTGTTTTTGGTGCAGAAAACAGATTTCCTGTGCAGAAAATGGACAGAAAATTAGGTTTTCTGGTTGGAAATTCTCTTTTCCAAGCACTCTACTGAATAGGCAAGTAATCCCCCCCCCAACAATTTATCTAGCTTTGTTGTAACATCTTTGCAAGAAATGCTTTTAAGAACACATGGGAGCTCAGCAAACAGAAAACAGCATACAGGAGACATGAGCCCCAAGTATTTCTAAGACTATACTCTTGCCCTGAGATTCCTCCCCCCCTGAGGACTGGAAAATCCTCCTCTTCCACAGAGCACAAGAAAAATGACGATAAACCAGGTCAGTTCAAGACACCAGCAAAGGAGAGCTCTTTCAACGCTTTACTTCACCAGTCTCAGGGGATAGCTGTTTAGCAGGCTGGCTGTCACACTGGAATAGCAGAAACGTTAACTGTAAATGTTGTTACGGTACTTCTTACCTGCCTCTCCTCATGGATCGAGGCAGGGAACAACAGATCAGCTGGGATCTCATACCCTCCAAAAGTCCCAATTTTGCAGGGACAGTCATGATTAATCCTCTGTCCCACTTTCTAAGCTGCTTTTAAAATGTCCCAGTTTATTTCTCCTCCTCCCACCTTTGTCCACAGGCTACTTCAATTGCTGCACACTGAGTTCAAAGTGCAAAAGTAGCTTGCACTCACTTAAGTCAGCCAGGGCAAAGAGGAGAGGAAGAGGCAATGCAGCCTCTTCTAGCTTATCTGTTCTTCCTTATTAATAACTCCTAAAGTCCCCTAAATCTCCTAACAAATATTCCCTCAAACAAGACAATTGGCCAAAAGGGCAGCTAGAAGTGACAGCACAACACTTTGGGTATGCTGAAATGTATTAGTGCAGACTGTTATGTGGGCTCATGGAGGGGAAATGGCCTTCATCCCTTGAACAGTTGCCCACCCCTGATTTCATGAGAAAGAGACCTTAATCGGTGGTACTCTCTGCACTCAGCATTGATTTCACAAATGAAAACTGGAACTTATGTGGACAAGAAACATCTAAGTGTCATCAAGATGGCAAAAGTTTTTAATAAGGAAGAACACAGAAGCTAGGAGGGGGTGCAGCAGTTTGCTTTTGCCTGTGCTGACTGGGATAGGCAAGACTCCATCCTATCCTATCCTATCCTATCCTATCCTATCCTATCCCATCCTCTCCCACCTGATGGATAAATTAAGCGCAAACAACTTTTGCACTTTGAACTCAGTTTGCAGCAACTGAAATAGCCTGTGGACAAAGGCAGAAAGTGGGAGGAGGAGAGAGAAACTGGGACATTTCAAAAGCAACTGAAAAAGTGGGACGACAGAGAATTAATTGGGGCTGCAAAATTGGGACAGTGGAGGGGTACGACAACTTCCACTGTAGTTCCAGATCCAGAAAGGATGGTCTCCGTAGCAGCCATCTGTTTACTCAGCAGTGGGATACTACGATTGTGACTCATGCAGCGTTGCCAAAAGGTTACAAAGCAAGTGGAAGATGGGCTTTCATTCCCAGCCAGGCGAAGAAAGGCCGGCTTTGCCTGATGCTGTTTTATTCCCCTAATGGGATCCATACCGGCCTCTTGATTTCTTCCATCTGGCCAGCTCTTATTGCACGTCTATAACTCACCTGAAATATAAGCCCTTTCATTTATATGTGTTTTTCCTAACCTTGAGCTCTTGATGCTGGGACGACGGACAAGAGTGAGAAGGTCAGAAATTGCATGATTTAACCCTGGCCTCGAACTCGGGCTTCAAAGCCCACGGCCAGGGCAGGACGACCAGGACAATTTTGAATTTGGCATCCTGACAGATGGTTCTTGGTGCTTTCCAACAGAGCAAGTTCCCCATAAGTGGATGGGGGACCCCCAAAACAAGGGGGATGGAGAGGATGCGGGCTTCTGCTGCACAGTGTGACACTGACACAAAAGAGCGGCAAGATCAAAGTGTGATGCAGTTGTTATGGTCTCCTGCAGCGGAGGAGAAGGAGGAAGAGCTTTTGATGAACTCATTGCTGGGGTCAGATAATGTGAGCAGTGGAAACCATTTATGGGTTTACATTTCAAAAGGACGGATCACAGAATCATATAATCTTAGAGTTGGAAGGGGCTGGAAGTGTCATCCAGTCCAACCCCTCAGCATGCAGAAATACAGTACTAGAACACTGTTGAAAGATGCTCAACAATCTCTCTTTAAAGACCTCCAAAGAGGAAGAGTCCTCACCCTGCAAGGTAGTCCATTCCACTCTTAT